TTTGGGTACATTTTAACTTGTTAACTGAATTATTTGATAGAAATATACCACTAACATAAATTTGCTGGTTCTTAGCTTGAAAGTTATGTAGAAAAAATCACTTGAAGCTTTTAATGCTTTATTACAAGTATTAGCCCTTTTTTCTTCTAAGTATTCACATGATTGCTGTTTTTACAATAAAATAACAAAAAAGAACAAATGGAAAAAACACAATAATGTAAAATATTTTCATGTGCGCTTGTTTTTGTTGTTGAATGAAGTATTACGTCAATCACAAGGATATTGTTTCTGAATCATACCAACATCATTTTAGTATTTTAATTGAGGTTTTCACTAATTGTAAATTCAGTGTTTGTCTTATAATGTCTTTATTATAAATGTTCCTCTTAATCTGAAGATTTTTTAATAAGACAGATTTAGGTCGTTAACTTTTTTATTATTTCTCCTTATTAATAGTTTTGCAAATTCTACACTGTTTATTATACATAGGATAATCGTTGGCAGCCGAATGGGCGTGTTGATCTTCATATTGAGACTAAAAATCTAGTACCTATCATTTCAAATGTCAAAGTTACTCATAAGGCTACTGAATCTTGATAGCTGTTAATTTTGTCGGAGATATTGAGTGATCTAGCCTGAAGTTGATCACAGTGGCGCAGTTGCATTTGTTGTCTATCTTCCTTTAAATTACGAGCTAAGTATCAATGTTATGTGTTTATGATTTGTTTCTTTAGAAATTACTGTTCGCGTTAATATTTTTATGGTTTGGATATTATTCTCCCTTCTTTATTTTTCACTTTTACTCTCACTATGCTGACTTTAGGTATGGTAACCTGAAACGAAGCAAACTCTTGTCAGATTTTACGTTGATAGTGATTGACTAATCTAGTACCTTGTTCAGCTCACATGATATATATTGCTAGTTGTAAATGTTTATATTTTTCTGTCGTTTATTTTCAATACTGAACTCAATCAGTCTGTTAGCATCCGTTTAAGGAGATTATATCCAAATGTAATTTCAAGCTTTATTGTAAATAACATCCTCTTAAATGATGCAGAATATTTGTAGTCCAGGAAGTGGGTTTTGGAAGTGCTGTGCTCTCTGAGCTGAATGATTTGATTGCGAAACTTTCATTGATGTTCTCGACATCAGTATTATTGTTGTATGTGTTAATATTGTTGAAGAGAACAATTAGAGCCGAACGACATAACGATCCAGCTCAGAGAATACAACAACTTCACAATATCCTCCCAAAAAGCTTTTCTGTTGAAATAGGAATTTTCTATTTAAAATACAATGTAGATGAATAAAGTGGTTAACATTGATCTCTATCGAAATATTATAACCCTTTCACAGATCCACTCTGTATATAGCGCATGGCTTTTAAATTATTGCTTCAGCTATGCGTGATGATTGCTCGAATGATTAAAGGGGAAATATCAGTACTCTTTCATTACTTTATACAGGATTATCTGTAAATTAATGTTATAATCAGTATAATAAGATATGAATCAATGATTGATCCTTCATATTATTTTAATCACCTTAAATGCAGTGGGTAAATTTATTTCATCTTCGGAATTCACAATCAACAGTTTATGTTACATACTAAGGTTCATTATTAAATTTTCTTGTTTGACTGATTCACGTGAACTCATCGGAATATGAACCTTTTTATCAAGAAGAAAATTAAAACTGTAAAATACTATGGATTTAGAACCATGTGACGCTAGTTCGAATCCTATGAAGAGGACCACTCTTCTCAAGATTGTAGATACGCCTCACTGACAAGTGCTAACTAACATGAAACCGAGGTTAAGTATTTTCTGCCGATCCTCTATAACTATGTAACATATAATACCCGTATATGTATAACCTAAGTGTGTTCTAACCAATCTAAAATAACTGACTGATTGTTCATTGCCGTTTAAATTTAAGTTACTTATAATTGAAAAGCTAATCAGTCAACCAATAAACAATTCAAGAGCCCGGTTTAAATGTCCTTCGGCCGAAGTTACCACACCTTCATACAAGATAAAATTGGCGAAATGAATTCTAGTGTAGTGCAAGTGGTAGTAAAAAAGGATCAGAGATGAGTAATAAGATTCGAGAAGAAAGAACAAAGTCGTAAAGTAAAGTGTGTAAAGTATTTTTAAACTCACGTGTTAAGGCAAGAGAAGTAGTGAACGCATCTGCTCCATCGCGACCATTTTTGAACCGTGTTGCCAAACGTCTCCAACAACTAGTCAAGACGGTCGTGTGAATCCCTCCAGGTAATCTACATCTATCAACATGGCTCACACCAACATTTAATACCCTCATGAACTAATGTTTTAGATTCGGGGCTCCTAGCTAGCCAATTTAGTGAGCCACTATACGTGCTTTCGTTTCGGACAATCATTATTTTTCCTTGTAGGTAACTTTTCAGCACATGGTAAATAATACCAGTCGATATGAGTTGTCAAAGCACGGACATTTGTAGTATTTGCTGAAAATCAATAGGAGGTCTTTGTTTAGGTGTTTTTTAGAAAGTACAGTAAATTGACCAGTTACGCATAATCATTTGTATACAAAGCTTCTTATCGGTATACTAGTTGTTCATAATCAGATTAAAATGCGCCACATCTCATATAATCAACTAGAAAGGAAATTAACAACAGATGAAGTGATGGATAATAGTTGATTCAAATTGCAATAGAAATCCAAATATGAAAGAATATGCCTTTATATATTGTTGGTTTAAAACAATTAGCCCCTTTGATAAATTTCGATAATGTAATGAGAAGACCAAGATTATCAGAACTGTGTGATATATTAGCGCAACACATTTCGAACAATCTGATCACACATATACTTGTTAAGAACATTTAGATATAAAAAATAAAAGGTCAACTAGGCTGGAAACGGGGTAAGAGGAGATAAGGATAATGTTAAGAGTAATAATAATAATAATGTGAACACAATTCAAAACCTGGATAATAAGTCAATATTATCAGGGTAGGTTTAAGGTAAGAACAGACGGTTTCTGAACACTTAAAGGGGGTTTGAATTTTTGTATGGCTAAGGCCTCAATAAACCTTAGTATACGCCCTTTTGCGCTTTCATAAAACACCACAAAAGCCGAGTTTAGATCAATCTTATGACCTGTTTCAATTATATGTTTAGCAATAGAGGACGATGGATGTTTATCCTCTGCTCTTAGTGGGTCACTTGATTGTATTTGTTTCTGCAACCTACCTTAAACCTACCCTGGTAATATTGACTTATTATCCAGGTTTTGAATTGTGTTCACATTATTATTATTATTACTCTTAACATTATCCTTATCTCCTCTTACCCCGTTTCCAGCCTAGTTGACCTTTTATTTTTTATATCTAAATGTTCTTAACAAGTATATGTGTGATCAGATTGTTCGAAATGTAGTGCACTAATATATTACATAGTTCTGATAATCTTCGTCTTCATATACATTATCGAAATATTGTTAGTTGTAGATCACTGAAAAGATTACTGGAGTGAATCAAATCCCAGTTCGACGTGATCATATGGAGAGTAAGATTTTCTACGTATTACAAAAGCATTAAAATATCATACTTGTTAGTGACAATTTAAATATATTTTGTTATTCAGAAAAAAATTCATTTGTAAAACTAATAATTCTCTGGTGAATTCTATATACGATAAGAAATAAAGGTTGATAACAATCATTCTCAACAGCGCTGTTAACGTAAATAAATTTAACTAACAAATTATTTTATTATCTTCAGAAAATGCCATGGACAAATTGGGTTCGACTTTTTGGGGTATATAGGAGATTCAAGATATTTGGAGAAAGATTCATCTTTTGATAGCATTTACGAGATTATGTTCTGCATCCTAAGGGGTTTAAACTTTAATTTGTAGAGCCTTCCGGTGTTTGCAATGTTTGGTAAGAAATATGTGCTCAAGAACACTTCATTATATCCCATCCTTTACTACTGCCCTGATTTTGTCGAATTCTGTTCTTACATTTTCTAAACTGTTTTCATATTATTATGATTATTATTAATGTTTTCAGTGAGAATTCTTCATCAACATTCGTACTACACGCTTTTTCCTGAAGCCCCAGGTTGCTCACATTTATGTTTTGCTTACGATGATGATTATAATTTTCTCATGTTTCATAAATCCCTTATTCCATAGATATTTGCTTAGAACTATGCAATTTTCTGGTAACAACTCACTATACTAATATTCTAACAAATATAATTTATATATATTAGTTGTACAAACAAACTAGGTGAAACTAGTTCCTATACTGAACCAGTTGTCCTATTTATAACTCACTCTGGTTACTGTTACTTTACTGTACCATACCTTGATACACCTGGCCGCACGACTTCACCCTAGGATCTATAGTTGGCTACTAGATACATTATAATATAGAACCTTAAGAAATGAGTATTCCAACTAATGTAGCTTACTTATGCTATCATGATAAATCAGCACGACCGCGGAACGAACTTAGCAGCTATGGTTGGTATTTTAGAAAGCCGATTCGAACTAATCTTACACTAAATATTCAACTAGGAATTTAACAACTTTGTGGCTAAAGTACATGTTTGTCAGACACTCAGTTACATAATCCTGATAGTTTTGTGACTATTGGCATGATCTTTAGAGAAAATGTTAAACATAATGAAGAACAAAATGATACAAAACAACAAAGACGTTTGAAGGTATAAAATAACGAAGATGTATCAGTTTGTTGAATTATACCGCTTGTCTTTGACAATTTATATGTTCTATCCTACAGATCTGATTCAAAAAACCTAAGTCATTCAAGAAGGTTGATTCAAAATCTGAGGACTTCAAAATTTACAGGAATACTGTTTAAATCATTTAGCTGCCAAAATTATTGCTCAAATGAGAGTATAAAACTAATATCAAATGGAGGAAATATAACTTTCTAAATAAATTCAAGCAATTTTGTTTTGTATATTTAATGTCATCAGTCATTCTATGGGGTTAACATGAATTCAGTTGATAAATCATCTGAAATACGAAAAGAATTTTTAGTTAGCATCTCACGTTCTTCTTCCCCATAGTCATCAACATCATGTTCTATTTTTTCATAAGGTAACTTTAAACATAAATGTGGTAATTTGATATGAGGTAATTTCCTTTGTTTCATGGGTAAAGGTAGTAGACATGACGACATTATTGGTATGAACCAATGTACTACTGAATTCGATCTTTTCTCTTCATCATAAATTAGTGAACATAGGAATTTATGATAATTGTCTAAATCTTTACTATCCATTTCATTGATAACGCAAGGTATAATATGTTTTGAAATATTTCGTTTCTTTGAATTAGTTACATTCACTTGTAGTGTTTCAATTTCTGAAAGCTTTTGTTTTAAAGTTTCTTTAAAAGGTTGGTGTCTATCAAATGGTAAAATATTACATTCTGTTGGTTTTATGTGTATTTTTGGTGGGAAATGTCCTGCTAATGCATTTTTATATGATATCCATGGTTGTGCATATGAAGGTTGAGTTGGATCACGTAAACTTTGACTTTTCATAATATCTCCATGTTTTGTTTGTTGTACATTATTAATCCATGGTTGAAGAATATTCTTTGTTTTCTGTTAGATAAAAGGATGAGATTTAAACAAAGAAGTTTTTAAAGTTTATTCACGTCACTGTTTTTAATCGTGGTGAAAAAAAGAGAAATATCGATTTTAACGAATGGGTTGGCAAATGATCATCAAAGAAGATATCTTTTTTACTCCTGATCAAACTATATCAATAAATAGTACCATGTGCCAGTAGACTGAATGATAACAAAGTGAATCACATTTACTAGTAAACATCAAAAGCTTGAAAACTTTAACTCTAGATATTCTTTTCTTTTCTTTTGGAGGTTAATCTTATTAATGAAGGGTTAAATTATACAAGTTTGGTTGGTATTATAGTGAGTGCCACTAGTTTCGAACTATTATTTGTGTCATAAAGTATGGTAAGACAGTCAAAGAGCTGAATTTCTAAATCATATGAGAAGTTAATTGTACAATATTATTTCGGTAGATATTTCTTCATCATTGGCTTATGTCAATGTTATTGGGTTTCATTTTTATAATCATAGAAAACTACAAGGGTTTTGGGAAGATGCGTAATATTATCTGAATAACTTTTCAACTAACTTCATCTTGATTCAGTGACAAAGTTACTTCCAAGAATTACAGATATCTTGATTACATTTCGACATTTGAATCGTTCAGTAGAAACTCCGTGATTGATATTTTTTATTTCATCTGATCTGGAACCTAATAGCTCTCCTTAAGTATAAGATTTTACCTGTTTTGCTGTTGACTTGACTGTTCCAACAAGTGAAAGATTTCTCAATGACATATCGACAAGTTTCTATCCGCAGTCAACAAATGAACATTTGTTAGTGAAGCTACTAGTTTCAGTTATGTAACACGAATAGAATGATCACTATTTCTCATTGAGAATAATTGATAGTAACAACTTTTGAATGTTGACAAATTGAATATCTTCTGACTCGATTTACTCTCAATGAAGTGATTACTTGTTAGTCATAATGTATCATCAGTTGTCTGTATTTGACATTATTTGGTAGAGTATCTTTTGACTAAGTTGATAACTAGTATCAATTTCGATTTCATAATTATGTCGAATATATGGTTTTCTTTCGGATACTTTTTTCATTTCCTCTTTCTGTTTAAAAACTCGCGTTTATTTTGTAGTTTCCATCGTAGAATTCAGGAAGCATTGCACAGCTGTTTCGCTACCATATGGGACACTTAAGCAGTACACATCTGATATGACAAGATTTCTCCTTATCTTTACTTACGTTTTTAACTCAATGTGATGATTACTCAGTGTGTTATTTGTTTTATTTTTAGTGTAATGTTTATTCAAGACATTTTTTGTATTAATTTATCGTGAAATTCGTTCAGCATGAAGTGTAGCTCGGGTTTTTGTAGAAAATGCATTTCTCCTGAGTACGGTAATTGTCAACTAATAATCATGTATTAGTAAAATCAACATATAAATGAATGTACTCGTGTATCAATTTGATTTATTCTAAAGGTAAAATAAATACTTATCACCAGCCTTGGTGTTCTCACTATGCTTCCTTGGATTCGGGGTTTCATCACTAATCACAAATCAGTTAGGCATTCAGCAGGCAGACATAACACCGTCTACGACCGTACCAACGATTCAACTTAAGATGCTCAGATCTCGCTGTGAACGCTTAACCTCTAGACCACTGAGTCGGCAACCAATAGTCTACATATGTAATCTTAATTAATTTACTACCTTGCGTAATTATCTTCTAACGTTATCAGTGGATAACTGTCAGAGATCCATGATGCTGAGGAGTTACATATTGGGACGGAAAAATTGTCCAGTGCTTCCTGGTTCCACTTGTTGCCTAACCAGAGTTAATTTATGACGTAAAATATAAAATTCAAGAATCTCTACGAGCTCCACACACTATGGAAATTACCGGTATTGCAACATGTTTTGCAATAAGAGATTTTTATGTAAGATTTCCGATTGATCGACAATTCAAATCTACGAGGTTGCAGGAAAATCACTGAGTAACATGTTTTGAGACTGTCGTTGTCAATCGTGAAAGGTCCTCGTACATAAGTATGAGGTTGTGGAGATTGTTAAACTGCATTTAAATCATGAACCTATCTAAGTTATACCACCATTGAAAACTTGAAAGTATTGAACGGCGGACTCATCTGAGTATGGAACTTCTCAGCAGTGAGTATCTACGATCCAGTACGTGGGAATAGAACCCAGAGCCTTCAGGCTTGTTCGTGGACGCGCAACATTTAGACCACTGAGTCGACACCCAACGGTGTTAATGCTTAAACTTAATCCATTCACAAAATTGCGTGACCATCTTCTATTATCTTCGGTGGGCAACTGCATCACACTTGGCATAGATTAGCTCCATTGGTTGCAGATTCTCACTAGAACCTAGGAAATTCCCTCTCGAAGCTAGTCACTATTAAGCACATTTATCTCAACTATATTCAACAGTGTGACCAGTATTATATTTTAAAACGGAATAAATAGAACGATTTCAAAGCTTATTCAGCATCGTGTAGGTAGGAAAATGAAACATCACTTATGAGAATTTGAGAATATAGACAAAATGTTTGAATAAACTAAAATGATATGACAAATTTAGGATAATTACTCATCGAGTGTCTGGCTATTTCTTTTTTGATTAATCTTCTATAATATTGTAAACAAATCTGGATATCTGCATTTGAATATGAGCCATGTCATTCTAAGTAATACACCACTGATTTCTACTCTTCAGTGAGTCCCAGTTTAAAATACTGAAGACATTATAATGCACGAACACTATTCAAGGTGGTTGATTAATTTGAGGAACCATCTTAGTAGATCCAAGTTTCACTAACCAATTCATCATGCTAACTTCTCTCCCAACTGTTATTAGTCCATCACAGATGAAATGCATCTCGAAAACCATCAGTAAAATAGATTTTGCATGCTTTCATCAGACAAGTAATTCAGCCTTGTAGTTTCAATGAAGTTACTGTATCAGTAGACTATGAATCGTAAGTGTGATTTGGTTAGTGCTCGTTGTGTTGAACTTTAGGATCTGACTTCTTCCTTGTGTATGTTGAGGCCTATCGTTACAGAATATGCTGCTTCACTGGCTGTCCTCACCTGCATTTGTTGGTGTGTATGGGATAGAGGAGCTAGGTCATCTGGGTAGTGTAAATCGTGCAGCCACATCCGAGCTGTCCATTGTGTTCGGTGCTTCACCTGAGATGTGGAAGTCTTTATAACTCAGTCGACCAACAGAATGGGGAGAAGGTAAGAGAATGAGCGGCCTTTTCTGACACTGGTCTTCATTTGGAATGCATCTGCGAGTTGTTGAACTGCGATCTGTAATGTTGCGATGTGGTTTGTACACGATCGATCTTTACGGAATCCAACCTGTTGATCTCAGAGATGGCGTCTACTGAACCTTTCATTCGATTCAACAACATTCTGTTGAGAAGCTTCCCGGTACCGTTAGTAGTGTGATGCCACTGTAGTTGCCACATTTGCTCAGATTTCTCTTCTTTGGTATCTTGATGAGTCAGTCAGTCAGTTACAACGTCGGACTAGGCATATACATGCATCGGTCCAAGTTGCCACATCTTATTAGCACATCAAGATGAACACTGGATGCACAGAAGCAGTTAACTCAATAGTGATATATATAAAGGAAGGATTTTATGTAACGATATAGTACAGAAAGAAAGATGTGAAATAATTTTAATCTCATAGTTTAAAGGAAGACAGAGTGTGTATACACCTACGCCGTTGTGACCGATTCTCAGTTATGTCACCCAAAGTCTCCAACCATTGGTTACGATAGTCACGTGGACCCCAACCAAGTAGTCTGCATCTACCAACATGGCCAGGATTAGAATTTAAAGACTTCAAGCACTGTCTCCACGTTTTGGTTTGGCCGCCACTATTTTTCTTCCAACCGTCCCCAACACTGCTCAGGATTGTATGCCGTGGTAACTGGTGTCTAGGCATATGCAACACGTGGCCTAACCATCTCAGTTGATGTAGATTCACAACTTTATCAACTTACTTACCATCATTCCCTAATACCATGCGTCTAACCTCACTATTACTTACCCGATAATCCCTGCAGATGCCAGCAATATTTCTAAGGCATCTGTGGTCAAATACTAGAATCTAACGAGTATCTTCTAATCTTAATGGCCATATTTCGCTGCCGTAAATTAAAACAGAACGAACCGCTGCGCAGTATACTAATCCTTTTATTGATAGACGGATATCTCGCCTTCGCGATAGGTGACGTAAGTTGGCAAAAGCCAAACGAGCATTTCAAGTCCGTGCTGAGGTTTCGTCAGATACCAACCCATTACGGCTGATTAGATTTCCAAGATGAGTGAAGTTGTCAACGCATTCGCCTGCTTCACTCCCTATCCTTAGTTCAGGTGTTGACTTAGGCCAGTCCCGAAGAAAAAGCTTGCATTTACAGGGGGAGAAGCGCATCACAAATACTCTGGCGTTGTTTCTCAGTGCTACAAAAGACTGCATTTTATCAGCGTCTTCACCAAATAGGACTATATCATCTGCGTATTCGAAGTCTATAAGTGGACCTCCCGGTAGGAGATCAATGCCAAAAAGTTCAATCGATAAGAGCGTTATTTCCATCAGCATGTCTGTAATGAAATTAAACAAAAGTGGAGAAAGTAGACAGCCTTGACGGATACCTCTTGAGGTTGGAGTTGCACATATAATGTGGCTGTAAATTCTAAGAAAATGAATTCGTTGAAAGATAGCTTCATCGATATAATTCCTATGTTTCTCAACGCCAACTATGTTAATGCTTATGTTACAAGATAGATATAGTATATTGTCAAAAACTTTTTACTTAATAGTTAATGTACTTTAATACCAAGTATTAGATCACAGGTTCAACGTTAGCTTTACCTAACTTAGTTCTGTTATCTGGAAATAGTATTACCTGTCTTTACAACTAAAGTGTAGTTCAAACACAGTGATATTAATATATACACTCGGTACATGAATTACACTAACTAATGGAACATAGATTTAATGTACATAGTAAATAGGATTTACTACATGTCAGTTAATAGACATAACTTACACAACATTTACGTCTTTCAGTTACATGTGATTCACCTAAACGTACAACACATCTTTCCAATTCATTCAATGGTGGTAATAGCATAACCACTTTATGCTGTTGAATATCATCATCATTGTTAACATTTTTCATTTGAATGACAGTTTCTTTTTCAGTTTCATTAAGCTGTTGTTTCAATTTATCAAAATGTAATTGTTCTACTTTAGCTTGTTCACGTAATTTCAATAATCTTTGTTCATGACACCAATTAACAAATGTATTTAAAGCTTGTATACCATCACTTGTAATGAATTCTTCACGAAACTCATTGGTATTTTTTGACCATTTCACTTCTCTATTTATAGATTTAATTTTAGTCGCTGAATTATTTGTTGTATGTAGAATACTTTTTAATTGATTTCCAAGTTTGGAAGATTTATTCTGAATGAATTATACAAGGCAGAAATTCATTAATTATATGAAATAATAAGAAACTATTTAATGAATGTGAATAGTTTTAATATACGCTTTGTTAAAGATATAAGATTCTATGGACTGGATATTTTAATCATTGTTGTAACATTAGAAAATTACTTGATTCGCTAACATCATGAGTTGACATATTCAAGTTATTGTTCTTTTTGTGATAAATTTGTGTACCTTATTGATTCAAAGCGTTGTTTACTAGCGGAAAAAGAAACAAACTCTAACAAGTAATTATTAATATGCAACATCTGCTGAATATCTTAGTGGCTATCATGACTCAATATCCGGGTTAAAAATATTGAATTTTAAAATAATTAGTAGTGGTTTCGAGTGTAGATGTCAATATTGTAGTATATGTTTAACCAGCTAATGAGTTCTGAATAGGATGAAACGTGAATCCTCTATTTTACTAATAATCATAATGCCTTATTTAATTTTATAAATATCATAAACTATTAATGATTATCTGTAAACTACAAAATCATGTTCTGCTTTCTATTCAAACGTTTTTATGAACACGAGAAAGTAACTTGATGAGAAAGGTTTGTAAACTTTTTTTCAGTTGTAAGCAAAATGATAAAAAAACTGTTAAAAGTGAATGAAAAATTATAATTAGTTGCATTCCTTGCAACTAACTTTAATGTGGACCATCTAAAGATAATAATCAATTGAACACTTTAATAGTTAATTTAATGACCAAGTTTTCTTGGGTCGATCTTTATGCATCAGATTTCATTTATATCTGTAGATCACTTGTAAGGAAATCATCAGTCACAAAGCTATATAGAGAGTTTGTGTAAATTGAGAAATAATTATACAATGTATTCTGCACCAAAACCCAAACAATTATTTGATGGCAACTCGAACTGACGTACGCATGTTCCAGGTTCTACGTTACGTTTGACTAACCGACTGATATGTTTTAAATAAGTCAGACGATTAAGATAGTCATATGTTATACTAAGGTAAGTCAGATCAAAATTCAGTCATGGTTCATATTTATACAATCAAACTATTAGAATCATTCAGATTTCTCATTTTGGTAATAACAGTCATCTATGAAATCTATGAGGTAATTTATTTATCATAAACTTGCTTAATATTAAAGTATTTTAATGTTGAGTGGATACTTATCTCGGAAAATCTGATATTGAAATGATTTTATTTAACGATGTTTGATTCAGATTTCCAATCAAACGCTATCTGACGTAGAAATAACTCCGCCTGTACATTTCTAGGGTTACTGCCGATTTCAAGCCTCCGTGAAAGACGAGGGTCGGACATGAAGTCAGCATCCCTATCACTTAGAAAACAATCCTGCTACAATAAGCTAACAAGAAAAAACAAATAAGCCATTTAAGCTCTGTCCTCCGAGTTGAAGAAATCCATTCCTTATGATGATGCTTCTTTAGGCTCAGAACCTCTTTACACGTTGAAGTTAATGCTTCTTTGATACCTTTCCAGTTTTCCTCCATAGTAGTTTCTTCTTTCTTCAGTAGATCCTGTAAGTCTTGAAACCTGTTGTTGAGAGTTATCTTGAATTTATTGAGTTTGTCAGTATCTCGAAGGAAGGCTGTATTGAAACTTTGTAGTGCTGTATTTCCAGTTGTCCAGTTCTTCTTTAGCTTCAGTTTTAAATTGGTCATAACGAGGTAGTGATCTGAAGCCATGTCAGCTCCTCTCCTGCTTCTCACATCCTCCATTGTCCTTCTGAACCTTTTATTGATGCAAATATGATCTATCTGGTTCTCTGCGGTGTGGTCCGGTGAGATCCATGTAGCTTTGTGTATACGTTTGTGTGGAAATATTGTGCCGCCTATGACCAATTTGTTGAATGCACATAGATTTGCAAATCTTTCCCCATTTTCGTTTCTCTCTCCCAGTTCATGTCGTCTCATGATATCTTCATATCCGGTGTTGTCTATTCCGACTTTGGCATTTAGATCTCCCATCAGAATAGTGAGGTCCTTTCTTGGGCACTTCTCAATGATTGACTGCAGCCGCTCGTAGAATTGATCTTTAATGTCGTCGTTGCTATCATTGGTGGTTGCATAACATTGGATAATATTCATTAAGATCCCCTACTTTGTTTTGAAGGATGCTTTGATGATTCTGGATCCGTGAGATTCCCATCCTACAAGTTCATTTCGTGCTACTTTGGACAGCATTAGAGCAACTCCTTGAGTGTGTGGAGCATTTTCTTCTTCGTGACCGGAGTATAGCAGCATCTCTCCCGTATTTCGCCTTTGTTGTCCAGCTTGGGTCCAATGCATTTCGCTGATTCCCAGTACTGCCAAGTTGTATCTCCTCATTGCCGTTGTCATTTGACTGGTCTTCCCGGTCTCTCACATTGTTCGGACGTTCCATGTACCTATAAAAATACTTGCTCTGGTTTTTAGAAGGGGCGTCGGCCTTGTGGCTTCCGAAGGAAATTGACTTTCACCATGAGGCGTTCTAGTTCTTCTGAATGAACACCTTCTAACTCCCAGGGCAGAGTTTAAATGGTTTGAATTATTTTTTCGGTCAGCATGTTTTAGCGAGTTAGTTTTCTACGGGATGGGGCCACTAACGCCATCCCTAAACCTCCTCCTTTACCCAGGCTTGAGACCGGCAGTAAATCTAGAAGACCTACAGACGGAGTTATTTGCCAGGTAAGGTACTATGGAACTTTTATACTTTTGCTTGCGTGCATGGATTTTAATGTAATTACGTCTCGTTCTGCCAGAAGATATACAAGGAGAAAGATAGGAGTGAAGGGGATGGTGATTTCTGATCACATAACACCTGTCAGTAGTTTGCATGACTTTAGATGCTTATCCACAACCATAATAATTATGACCTAGGAAGATTCACCACACAACTTGCTAACTGCCTTCATCACTCTCCGCAATACAGCAAAGATTTTTCTCAAAAGCCCGGGAGAGAATGATGGAGAACAGTGAAGAATAATAGGTAATATGCAAGAATCGACAAAATGTAAGAGTAAATGACGAGTAATCCCAAGAGCACGGAGTCTCTTTATGTTGTAAGTCAGACGGACAACTTTCTTCGATAACAATAAAACATGAGAAGACCAAGAAAGATCAGAGGAAAAAGTAACACCAAGATAATTGACCTTCGAAACTGTGGAGTGGAAAAACAGTAGGATCAAACAACATACCATGTGAAGCACTAAAGTCAGACATTGAAGTGACTTCAAAGATGCTTCACATCCTATTAAGAAAGATTTGGAAGAAAGAACAAGTGCAAACAGAATGGAAAGAAGAACACTTCATCAAGATACCAAAGAAGAGAAATCTGAGCAAATGTGGCAACTACAGTGGCATCACACTACTAACGGTACCGGGAAGCTTCTCAACAGAATGTTGTTGAATCGAATGAAAGGTTCAGTAGACGCCATCTCTGAGATCAACAGGTTGGATTCCGTAAAGATCGATCGTGTACAAACCACATCGCAACATTACAGATCGCAGTTCAACAACTCGCAGATGCATTCCAAATGAAGACCAGTGTCAGAAAAGGCCGCTCATTCTCTTACCTTCTCCCCATTCTGTTGGTCGACTGAGTTATAAAGACTTCCACATCTCAGGTGAAGCACCGAACACAATGGACAGCTCGGATGTGGCTGCACGATTTACACTACCCAGATGACCTAGCTCCTCTATCCCATACACACCAACAAATGCAGGTGAGGACAGCCAGTGAAGCAGCATATTCTGTAACGATAGGCCTCAACATACACAAGGAAGAAGTCAGATCCTAAAGTTCAACACAACGAGCACTAACCAAATCACACTTGATGAAGAAGCTATAGAAGAGGTGGAAAGCTCCATGTACCTGAGCAGTATCATTGATAAACAAGGAGGATGTGATGCAAATATAAAGGCAAGGATTAGCAAAGCGAGACCGACATTCCTACAACTGAACAAAATGTGGAACTCAAAGCATCTGCCAGCCAACATCCAAGTCAGAATCTTCAATACGAACGTGAGGAAAGTGCTATTATACTGATATGAAACTTGGAGAACTACTACAACCGTCGTCAACAGTGTACAGGTATTTGTGAACAATCGTCTACGCAACGTCGACTGGACGTTCGTTTGTTGGATAGCATCAGCAAAACTCCACTGTGGGAGAGAATAAACCAGCTTCCATCTGAAGAGGAAATTAGGAGAAGATGCTGAAGATGGATAGCACATAGATTGAGGAGACCAACAAACTGCTTCATCTTCGTCAGATGTGTTACACAACATGTTAGACACATTTCTCTCCTACACATAACGTCGGTTTCAGCTGGTGGATTTTAATTGTTCGGCTAAACACAGGTGCCGTATGCTAACTCTACGAACCAGCTTTCTATTGAATGGCATGGTAGTTTTATGAAATTCAGCTGCAGTCGTGTAAACTGCTTCTTTCCATCTAAAGCCCAACTCTACAATATGTATATCTATGATTTGTATACCACAATGGAGATATAACTGATGTTATTCATTAACAGTAACTCTATAAATTTCATTCATTAAAAACCTTCATACTAACAAAACAACTTTCCATTCTTCTATCGAAGTTAGGAGAAGACGCTGGATAGGTCATACATTGAGAAAATCATCAATCTGCATCACGAGGCAAGTTCTAATTTGGAATCCTAAATGCAAAGGAAAAAATATAAGCTAAAGAACACAATGCTCAATGAATTGGAGGCAGCTATCAAAAGAACGATTGGTACTTAGAAGCAACTGAAAAAGAGACCATAGGACAGAGTTGGTTTGTCTAAAGATTCTCGGCTATCTATGGGCCATGAGGAGTAACAGGTGTCACAAAGGATGTAAGTAAGGTGTAGAAATATTTACGTGGTTATAACTCAATAGGTCACTGGAAGATTCACATGGCTGGATGCAATCAACTGATTTGAATATATTTTAATAGAAACGTTGTGTTGATCCGAATTCAAAAGTCATTTTTATCGTTTAAGACAGGCCATCAGTAACGACCCTTATGGGCTTATGGCGATCGGCATTGTTTGAAAAACATGAGTCTGGTCAACAAATTTCCTAAACGTCCTTCATTTGGCATCCTCAATCATTAGTCTAAGCATGAATTACCACAAAGAAGTCTACAAGCAGAAATGGATGGTGGCTAGGAGTGGCATCTAGTAAGTGCGTTTCGTCCCATCTTGGATTCATCAGCTGGGTGTACCTGCATCCCATATTTGGTGTTCACTCGGAAACTCGAACCCAGTACAGTTCGATCCAAATGCCATCGCGTTATCTATTTAGCTACTGTGAATAACGCAATGGCATTTGAATCGAACTGTACTGGGTTCGAGTTTCCGAGTGAACACCAAATATGGGATGCAGGTACACCCAGCTGATGAATCCAAGATGGGACGAAACGCACTTACTAGATCCCAATCCTAACCATCATCCATCTTTGCTTATAATGCTTATGACTAGAGGTAATATCGAGGCAACCCGCATAGGATACACATATGCTAATAAGGGACTGATCAGTTGCAATCCTAAACATCAATGGGAATATTCAAACAACTGATACAAAAATGAATGAACAAAAAACTGTTTGAACGAGGTAAAGTTTCAACAAACCTTTGATACTATTTCACTGCTTTGTCTGAACCAATTCTCAAGCCACACAGATAATAATCTGTAAAATTTAATCCAACAGTTTAATATTTCAATGTTCTCCACCAAATGAATACAATCATGTAGATGGATAACTTTTTTTGGTGGAGTGATTTTCACATTTCTTTCGATATTTCCTAGTTTACTTAGCTCTTCTTCAAGATAATTGCAATATTTAATTTGAAACCCAAGTGACTGTAATGAACGATGAATATAGTGTGTTAAATTAGCATTTTTAATTTCTCCGGGGACCTGTGGATCGTTTTTCTCGGTGTTTAGTAGAACGTTCACATACAAAACTAGTAAGATAACCACTGTATCAATATCGTGGAAACCAAGTGTAATCAAAAGTGTGCTCACTGCTTCCAACATTTTCCATTCTTTGAATTCTACTGTTTTTCCTAATTCATTTATTACGCATCCTGTCAGGCAATGATGTAATTCGGGAATGTACTTGTCAGATAACTGATGATCTGTGTAAAGTGTTTTAAAATCTGTACAAAATTGGGAAATAGTCTGACAAAGATACGGATCTTCATCCTCTGTAGATGGTGAAGTTGCTTGTAAGCATAGTTTTGGTATAATATTTGTCCAAAACAGCCAATGAATAAAGCAGTCAACGTTAGAACCTGCATTAAAATCAGACCATCCTTCAGGTTCTTGACCATTTAGTAATCCCATAATAGACAGCCATCTAGAATTTCTAAAGGATTGCAAGAACTCAGGCAGTACAAATATGTCGATTTTCCCTGGAGAATCTGTATTTCTGAATTCTGTCAAGAAAACAGTATTTTCTCGTTCATATTTTGGACGACCAGGTGCTTGTCTTTCAATTAAATTAGACAATAAATCTGTTTCCTTCAAATAAGATTGCTTAAGATCACTTTTGGCTAGTGCTTCACGTTTTTTTGAAGATGGTGTTGACTTTTCAGTTATAGACATTTGACTTTGTTCGATCTCAGTACTTATCTCATTTTGTAACGTCGATATACTAAATAAAGTATTCATTGGGTTGTTTATATCCCGGAATCTACTTGCAAGCAACTTTTTATCTGTATTCTCATCAGTTATATCCCCGTCACTTATTTCTTTACTGAACATTGTTAATTCTTTGTCTGACTCCACTATCCAACCTATACTCGAGTCCGAAGTTAGTGTCCTTTGCAATCCGCTAATACCCGACCTAGCTAATCTTGCTTCAACGTCAGCCCAGTTGACTTCATTCTCATTTCTTTTATCATCTACTCCTGAGTGAGTTATTCCTGAATAATATTTGCGAAGAAGTAAAGAATTAGGCGCCCAGCCATACTTTGAACGTCCACTTTCAAGTAGAATAACCTTTGGAAAAAATCCATTTGTCCTTTGATTAAGAAGTAAATCCGACTCTTTATTATTAGTAATTATCGGTAATTTAATCGTCTCTTGGGGTTTTACAAAAGAAAGGTCTTCACTTGCTTGTAGTAATTTTTGCTTTTTATCAGTTTTGCGGTGTTTTGCGAGTTTTTCTTTGCTTGTTTTTCCTAAATTCTTCTTGGTTGATGCTTCAGTTTGAATTTGTGAATAAGTTTGCTCCATAGTTATCAATTTCTCTTTTAATAAAGTGATATCTTCATCCTCTTCATTGTATAGTTCTTTCGAGTATGAAGTTAAATTTAAACATTGTCTAGATAATATTTTTTCATAGTAATTGTTAAAAGCGATTCGTCTAGCTGCTTGCATTGAAGCACAATCAATATGGGAACGGCGATTTGAAAGAGTCTTTAATAATTTAATTTGTGATATTTCCCTTAAATCTAAATCTCTTTCTTTGAGTTTAGTTAACATTTGTGATTTCTCTGACAAATTTTGTGCTGCTAACTTTTCTTCAAGTGAAAAGTCTATTGGTTGGTGAATGTTGCAAATCTGTTCAAAGTTTGAAAAAATAAACACAATATTTTATCATTACGCATATAACTTAAAATTAACTAATAAACAGTAGAACTGTTGCTTGGTGAACTGAGACAAATATTTAAAAATTTGAAAATCTCTCATCATCATTGATAAAAATAAAATTAATTAAATAATCCGGTGTAAATAAAAAAAAATTATTTCACTTTTTCTCCAGTATAATAGACATGTAAGCCATCTTAGTGATCATAAGATTGAAGAAAGTGCAATTCAGTCGCTTCTATCATAAATTAGTATTACTGTGAATATATGAATAAAAACAGGATGATTATTTAATAGTCTAGGTTCTTCAGTAACTGCGCTCTAATTTTTCTTTACCTCAAACTGGAATTCTTCAGTAAATCTTACTTTCTACTTATTTTGATGAAAGACTATGACAATTTAGGTTTCTAAAAATGATTGTTAGTTAAATGTAACAAAGAAAACAGAATTTAACTATGAACAATAAATGAACCAAATTTTCAGAATAAAGTGAATTCACCTTGTTTCAAAACTTCGCATAAACTATAAACAGCTTAGGAAATAATAGTTTGGAATCTGATACAAAATATCAATCATATGATTACGATTTGCTAGGATTTGTGTGTTAAAATTCAATCGTAAAGAGTAGACGAGTAGAGGCTACAGCTACTAATAATCCCATTGAAAATACTTGGTTATGAAATCAGACGACATAACTCTGAGGAATCTCTCATGAGGTAATGTGTAGATTGTTGAGTTTGAAGTTCTACATTAAGGGTTGATTTCCATTAGAAAAGCACTGGAAATGAGGACTCCTTCACAGTGAGCTTCGGAGATCCTAATTGGATCGAATTCATGCTTTCAGGCTCCACAGCAAGCGTCTAGCATTTAGATCAGAGTTGGAACTCAATGGTTTATATTACTAACTTCAATCAATTCACTGAATTTTTCAGTTTTGGTGTGTGGAGATTGGTAAACTGCATTTAAATCATGAACCTATCTAAGTTATACCACCATTGAAAACTTGAAAGTATTGAACGGCGGACTCATCTGAGTATGGAACTTCTCAGCAGTGAGTATCTACGATCCAGTACGTGGGAATAGAACCCAGAGCCTTCAGGCTTGTTCGTGGACGCGCAACATTTAGACCACTGAGTCGACACCCAACGGTGTTAATGCTTAAACTTAATCCATTCACAAAATTGCGTGACCATCTTCTATTATCTTCGGTGGGCAACTGCATCACACTTGGCATAGATTAGCTCCATTGGTTGCAGATTCTCACTAGAACCTAGGAAATTCCCTCTCGAAGCTAGTCACTATTAAGCACATTTATCTCAACTATATTCAACAGTGTGACCAGTATTATATTTTAAAACGGAATAAATAGAACGATTTCAAAGCTTATTCAGCATCGTGTAGGTAGGAAAATGAAACATCACTTATGAGAATTTGAGAATATAGACAAAATGTTTGAATAAACTAAAATGATATGACAAATTTAGGATAATTACTCATCGAGTGTCTGGCTATTTCTTTTTTGATTAATCTTCTATAATATTGTAAACAAATCTGGATATCTGCATTTGAATATGAGCCATGTCATTCTAAGTAATACACCACTGATTTCTACTCTTCAGTGAGTCCCAGTTTAAAATACTGAAGACATTATAATGCACGAACACTATTCAAGGTGGTTGATTAATTTGAGGAACCATCTTAGTAGATCCAAGTTTCACTAACCAATTCATCATGCTAACTTCTCTCCCAACTGTTATTAGTCCATCACAGATGAAATGCATCTCGAAAACCATCAGTAAAATAGATTTTGCATGCTTTCATCAGACAAGTAATTCAGCCTTGTAGTTTCAATGAAGTTACTGTATCAGTAGACAGTGAATCCTAGGTCAGTATATTGTTGTTTCCGTGATGACTTTCAAACGCAGTTTCTGTATTCATGTTGAGATTAGTTATCAAGCAGTTTATTGCTGCTGATACGATGTCTTAGTTAATCAAGTATTTCCATATATCCAACTAGTTTGATTACTATTCTGAGGCCAAAAATGTTTCGAAACATCGGTTTGTACTCAATCTACTCAAATTTAGTCAGTTGTTGAGATATATTTAGCATGTGACTCGCAATGGAATCCAGAACATGAGTTCCGTTCTGTTTTGGACTTCCCAGCTTTGTGTACACGTGTCCTAGCGTTGATGTTTAAGCGTGTGTCCTGGAGATTCCACAGCTAGCAATGTGTCAAATGTGCCACAACTTATGACGTAAAACTATATCGAGACAATTGACTCAGAATGCTTATATTTATCAACACAGACTGATAAATTGTAGTACAAAATATCACTAACGGGAAATTACAAAGTCTTATTAATACAATCATCTGTGTTTATTGACCAAACGTTGCATCCACCACATTGAAATTTTACTTTTAAAATGGAATGTTCATGATATCCAACAATCCTTACATATTCGACTATTGATACTTGAAATTCGTTAAGAGGAAAAATGTGTCTAATTATAAGTCTTCTCATTAAATAAAAGTGATAACGGAATTCCTGATTTATTCAACAAAACTCTACATTAAGTAATTAATACCAGTCATGAATATAATTTATTTTTGTTTTCAATCACTGATTCTTATACTTAATGCATTTTGTATTATTATGAATTAGTAGTCTTTCTTTCTGTTTTTGTAAAGAATTAGTATGATCAGTCGCTTTACTAAAAATAGCATGGTGTAAATCTAATTGGTTGACGGAATGATAACAACTAATTGTGTAATGTAAGTGTTTTACTTATATGTTTATGATTTATTCACTTTGAGCATTGTCATTTCTTAAGTTATCAAATTATAGATTGCAGATATGCTGAGGTTGACATGTTTATGAGTAACTAAACATCTTAAATTAATTGATGGATACCCAGACTTACTCAATATATAACATATGATTTAGTATAATGCCAACGTTGTATGTCAAGGTTTAAAAACATTTTATTTAACGTCTGTCAACTATTTAGTATACGTTGCATGATAATAAATAGAGCTAATTAACATTTCAAAGAATTAAAGTAGAGTATCAATAAAGGAGTGGAAAGTTGTTTTGTTAGTATGAAGGTTTTTAATGAATGAAATTTATAGAGTTACTGTTAATGAATAACATCAGTTATATCTCCATTGTGGTATACAAATCATAGATATACATATTGTAGAGTTGGGCTTTAGATGGAAAGAAGCAGTTTACACGACTGCAGCTGAATTTCATAAAACTACCATGCCATTCAATAGAAAGCTGGTTCGTAGAGTTAGCATACGGCACCTGTGTTTAGCCGAACAATTAAAATCCACCAGCTGAAACCGACGTTATGTGTAGGAGAGAAATGTGTCTAACATGTTGTGTAACACATCTGACGAAGATGAAGCAGTTTGTTGGTCTCCTCAATCTATGTGCTATCCATCTTCAGCATCTTCTCCTAATTTCCTCTTCAGATGGAAGCTGGTTTATTCTCTCCCACAGTGGAGTTTTGCTGATGCTATCCAACAAACGAACGTCCAGTCAACGTTGCGTAGACGATTGTTCACAAATACCTGTACACTGTTGACGACGGTTGTAGTAGTTCTCCAAGTTTCATATCAGTATAATAGCACTTTCCTCACGTTCGTATTGAAGATTCTGACTTGGATGTTGGCTGGCAGATGCTTTGAGTTCCACATTTTGTTCAGTTGTAGGAATGTCGGTCTCGCTTTGCTAATCCTTGCCTTTATATTTGCATCACATCCTCCTTGTTTATCAATGATACTGCTCAGGTACATGGAGCTTTTC